ACATCAGTATCATGGTGAAATATTTTTCTTGCGTTATAAGAAGAAACAAACATATTTCAAAAAAGGAATCTCAATTGTTATAGTTTCGAACCTGGATTCCCATGATCCTTCTGAGGACAGGTGCGAACATCATGTCCTTCATTAGTGCAATGACTACAATGTCTCTTACTTGGTTGAGTTGATGCTTCACTTTTACGTCCTTTTGTTTTCACAACTCAGGATCTTTAATCCTAATTGTTGGTATTCTCTCTGTTGTTTTCTCCATGGGATCCAATCCTCCCTTCTTTCTCCAAATGTCTTCGGCTAATATAGTTAACCTTTCTATTTCCTGTTTCGCCATCTTGTAGCCTTCCTCTGTTTTTTATGCATAATGACACAATCTTCCAAAGCTTCCATTTAGATTACCAGATCTAACAACATGTACCTCTTCATTTTGCAGCTCCGGATGGGCAGCCTGCACTTGGAATCCTTGCACCAACGTTTCACAACCAATGCAGATGGTACAACTAAAATATTATGAACTTTGAGCACAAAAAAACAATGGCTACACGGAATGCCTTTTCTCCCGAGAAGCTGATAGGAACATTCTATTCGTCTATTTGTCGGATAGTACACCACAACCCAAGATCTTTCTGTACATGAATATATGTTGAGCTTATAAATCTTCTTTTCACCGTTCGAATTAGTTGACACAGTATACAGCAAGGATTCCTCCTTGATCCTCTTTCGCACTTTGAAGAACATTTTCCGTGTGTAGATTCTAGAAAAATGTTCCTCGATACTGTGAAGGTGCATATCACACACAGGAATCGTATGGAGACTCACAAAATCTCCCTTTTCTCCTTGTACCTCAGTCGCCTCAGACCTCTATCAAATTGTGCAACAAACTCATACAGCTTCAATTTCCTTTGCAGGAACCGATTCATATAGGATTTCATTCCTTCAACACGCTGTGAGCTCTTCATTCCAGCAGTGAATGTACCAGTGAAAAATGCTTGATCCCATCTATGTCGCTTCTCATACAATTGACAACCATTCATTGCTGCCAAACTGAAAATCTTCAATACTCCTTCTCCATACCTCCTCAAATTCATCAACTGAGTCAATTCGTTTCAACAATTTCTCAAATGCTTTCAAAAACTCCTTTGGACTAACATTCGATTCTGCATTTCTTCTCAAGTGCCAGCAACACATCTTGTGAGCAGCTTCAGGCATCAAATCCTTAATGGCCCTCCTCATTGACTTACACCCATCACTAATCACAACCCTTTGGTTCTTACCCTTCATTGCACCGAGAAATTTTTTTGGTACCCAATTGTAACTCTCTACTGTCCCGTTCGGCAACAAAGCACACCCAAATATTGTGGTTGCATGATGGTGATTCACCCCAACAAAGACTACAAGAGGCATTTTGTATGCATTGGTTTTATATGTGGAATAAAAAACCAACACATCACCAAAGCACGAGTGATCGAATTGACAAGTGGAGTCAGCCCAAAACAAATGTCTAAGTCTGTTATCTTTATCGAGGGTGAATTTGCAGCAAAGTTCTAAATCGATTTCGTATTTAGCACGTAAGTATGCTAATGCAGACTCAACATCACTATGCAGATCAAAATTCTAACCTCCATTGACGAAATTGTACAGATCTTTAAGAGTAAAACTGACATTATCATAACAGCCACTCCTCGCAATGACTCCACTTGTGCCTTATTGGCCTCTTTCAATGACTGATGTGAGTTTAAGAATTGCACATGTTCAAGCAAATCTCTATCATGATTATGCCCTGGCACAAACTCCTCTACCTTGTACTTTGCATCTTTTTTATCAAATTTCACTTGGAATGAAGCAAGACATCCCACTCTAGTCACAGCCTTTGTTTCCCTCTTCCTATCCTCTTCATTCGCATATTCTGTTCTAGCCCCTTCTTCACAACAAACCCATTTTCGTGATGTCCATTTCCCATATTTATTAACCTTCTTATCTCTTTTTCTAACACCAAACCCCGTATAGTTGTTGTAATTGTTGTAAAAAAAATCAGCTTCTTCAATGAAATCGAACATTACTTCTCTCAAATCATGCAACCCCCAATCCTCTATTTTTCCAGGAACATTAACGTTCAGAAGCGACATACCAGAATTTTCCTGGGGATGACCACTACTTTGATTTTGGGTATTTGTATCAACATTCTCATGAGGTATATCATCTTGAAGAACATCTCCACGAGTTAAAAACGTTTCTTCTGATCCTGTATAACAACAAAATAAAACTAGATAAGTCATACAGAATTGCATTGTAATTATTATTAGCATGAGTCACGAGCCAAACCTTCCATTCAGCAGGGTACAACTTGTTTTCTATTAATACAGATGAAGCAGAAAGAATTTGAGAGTAAAATGTTGCACCACCTGCAACATTCACAACCATTTCAATAGTGTCTTCAACACAAGCAATGATAACTCATAGGCAAAACACACAGTAAGAACAAACAGCCTGTGACATCAAAATGATTGGATAATGGTGAAGTACATGTACTGAATTACAAAAAGATATCAAAGGAGACAGTAAAAACAAACACACCAATAGAGATTGGGTTATACCCTTCTAACAGGGATACCAAAGATGAGACAAGAACATAAAGGCTGAAAACACAGTTGGAAAATTTATAACATATATCAAGGAGTTGAACCTCATACATTACTACACTCCAAACTACATTCTGAAACAAGAATATGGGATTCAGAAGAGACTTAAGCTATCATAGACTCTGCTGCACCTTCTCATCTCAGCTACCAAAGAGTGGATTCGTTTTTGTTTTATAATGGTGATGCAATCTCATTAATTTAAACAGAAGTTACAAGTGAATACAAGTCTACAGTTATTGCAACAAGTATGAAAAAAATACCACAAAAGCCCCGTCTGTTCTTCTCTTATCTGGGGAATTCACAAAATGAATAAGCTCTAATCCTACCATGATTTACAGTCACCACACCTATCAAAAGATAACATTACATAGGCCAAATCATGTCATCCAAAAGCATCAGTTTCACTTTCGAACCTGTTGTGTTAAGCAGTCACAAATAATACCAAAAAGATTATTGTTCTCATGGGTCTTTTGCTTGTGAATGAAAATAAGCTCATTGTTGAAATTTGTGGTTGTTAAATTAGTGAATAAGGAATTGTTGGTAAGGATATTTTAGGTGTCAAGTCGAAACAGCCAATGCCAAGTTCAAAACTTAGAGAAACATTAGAAGTATATAAAGGAGCGAAAGAAAAGCATATGCTTAGCTGCCAAGAATGCAGCAGTTCCTTCAATCAAGTAGTTGCAAGCCTGCAATTCTCTCATATCATAGTCACATATCATAGTCAAATAAATGTAAGGAGAATCATACTTTAGTGGGACTTCTCTTATTATTCCTGGCCTCCTAGGTGGTTAAATGTGTGCTCGAGGTGCACATTATAGTTCTGTCCTTTTTTCTTTGTGCTAATAACTTGAGACTGTTTCTTTGGTCGCAATTCCATCTACTAAGACATACTCCCCACGTAATCAAAGAAAGAATACATAAATTACCATGATATTATACGATGTTGCAGTGTGGTTAATGGCATCGAAGCAGAGGAGCATATGGCAAAGCTTTATGCCCCCAAGTAATGAATTGAAAGACTGAACATGAGTGTGAAACAGGTAAGCAGAACGTTTCTAATTTGTTCCGAGAATGCTAAAGGGTCGAAACTTATCATATTAGATGCATAACTGTTTGAATAGGTTTGTGTTCTTCCTCAGGTTCCCTTTACACAACTATGTATGCATTTGGCCTTATCAAGCAGTCGCGTCCTCTGCTTCCCATTGCTCTTATCAATTGATTCTTCATTTCACTTCTCTATAGAAAAGCCTCCCATCAACATGGCAACTGTGACATTCAAAGCTAGGTGGTTGATTCCTTATAAGTTTAGCGGTGGGAGGTCCAGTTGGGAACCCAACGCCAACCTCACTCTCTAGGTGTCTCAGAAAGAAATCTATGTCGATGATTGATAACTTACAACGTACAACTCTATCTAGCTTCTTCCTTCTAATAAACTACTCACGTTGTACCAACCAAAATATAAAGAACAAAGAAGTAGAATAGGGACAGAGCAACCAGTAGCCTGATGCTCGGTAAACACAACACCGCAAAGGAAAATACTCGCATACAAGGCGCAACATCCAAGACATACCAGCTCAGAGGAAAAAAGAAGCTAGGCCTAATTCTCAAAAAACAAACGAATTGAATTACCAGGATTTGTTAGGCAATGTCGGAACTTCGACTTCCGCTTCGTCAACAGGAAGGGTGAGACCGAGGGGACAGGGCAGAGTGAGGAACTCTTCTCTTATGCGCGCGAGGGATTGTCGGTGTCGGCAGAGCAGTTCGACGCAGACAGAGGGCCTCCTGTATTTAGGATTCGTCGTTTTTGTTTCACAGAATGAATGACGGAGGAGGAATACGGTGAAGGAGTTTATTGGAGGAGATGGAGTTCCGATCGGAGTGGGTGGAGTTCGCCGGAGCTGTTTTGATTCTCGCCGGAGCAATTTCAACCGAGAGAAGGAGATCGACGCCGAACTGCTTCACTTTCCCTTTGTTTCTTTGGGTTCTAGAGAAAAAAAATAAATAAAACTGAACAAAATAATATGGGGGAAAAACGATGAGAAAAAAAGGAACTTAAAGAATTCTGTCCGTTTGGGTACGGCTTCGGTTCGGGCCAATTCTAATAGGTCAGTAGGCTTTGGGCTCAAATTAAATAAATCAGTCAGGCCACGTCAGCAACACGTGGCCCAATCAAAAACGGCGTCACTTGTGCCGCACTTTTTAGAGCGGCACCATATAGTATTGCCCATCGTTTTTTCAATAAAACAAACTATCATCTTGTATTTTCATTAGTCCAGCATAAATTCACGCAGCCCAGTCCAGGTACAGGCCCAAGGATAAAGCCCAATAAAACTCTCGGCGAGCCGGGGAGGTGCAAATTTGCTTCTCCAACCTCAACCTTGGGGCATCAGCAGTTTGAGATCGCAGCAAAGTCGAGAACAAAGTCTCCGTTTTAAGCGATGGGATTCGGAGCTCTGAGAAACATAGTTCGGCCGCTGGCCAGAACGCTGATATCCGGCGCTTCCACTTCCAACTCGACATTGTTGACGGCCAAGGCTCCGTTTCTGAGACCCGAGTGTCGATTTGGTCTCTGTCCACCATTGGCCCAGGCATCGCGTAATTTCAGTTTCTTTTCGGAGACTGGTTACGACAGGTTAACGGACAAGAGATTGCCAAAGCGCCGCCCCCTCGATAAACCTCGCCGGAAAAGGGCCGGCTTGAGACCTGCTGGTAATGTTTCAGTACCATGATGTGTTTTGAATTTGTGGGGTGCTGACGAGGATTTAGGGTTTTGGGGACCTAGCTGAAAGGTTTATCTTTGTCGGGTTCTTATTTGAATTGGATAGAACTTTGATCTAATTCTGCAATGCAGGGGCATTTGCTTGGGTTAAGTATGATGCTGGAGAGCCGATTAAACCCAGTAATCCTAATGAAGGAAGCGTTAAGAGAAGGAACGAGAAGAAGCGTAGAATGTTGCACCGGGCCTTTGTGAAGGTAGGTGCCGTGCCGTGCCGTAGCAAAGGAACATCAATCGTTTCATTTGGCTTTAGCTTAGTTGATGGTGGCTGAATTGTGCTGATAGATACTTGATGTTCAACATTTGAACAATTTAAGTTGGTAGAGACTGATTGACGAGAAATCGCATGCTGAACTCTATGTTTCTACTAACACATTGAAAGTAGAGAAGACAATGATAGGAAGGCATAGTGCAAAAAGAGCAATAACCATATGTTCAATTGGTCTTATTTATGTGATGTTCTGATTATTTACAAAGATTTTGGGCCAGTTCTGTCGACGTGCTTATCAGTTGCAATGAACTTGTTTGATAATGCTTCTGCCACAGTCTCCTGTTTTAGGATTCCCTCTATAGGTGTAGGTGAACTGTCCTGTATTAACCTGCTGACTATGGTTTCTCGGTATTCTGGATTCGATTGGTGATAGCATATAGAAAAAGTAGGCTGGCAGCCATCCGGTTTGGTGGCTGTCATGCTACATCGTAGCGAGCTTCTTTGGATCCTTAATGCTATAAATCAATTGCCCAAGTTCACATTTCCGTCCTCTGGATTCACAGTAACTGACATAAACATGTGTGTTGGAACTTGAACAGACTGAGGCAAAGAAGAGGAAAGCTCTGGTGCAGGCAGCTAAACGGAAGAAAATGGCTGCGAGAGTGGATCGTAAAATGGCTTCTGTGGCGAGGGATAGAGCGTGGGCAGAAAGATTGGCAGAACTGCAGCGACTTGAGCAAGAGAAGAAAAGCTCCATGTCCTAGCTTTCTTTCTGTCTTCCGAGATGTATTTGGTTCCAAATGTCTGCTGCTACTTTTTCTGCTTGTTATCAGCAGAACAAGAACACCGAATCACATAAAGACCTTGAATTAATTCTTGTAACTCAGGTTTGTTGTTGCTTTGGCTTTCGCTATGGCTGTAGCTGTGAAGCCTTCCTGTTAAATCTACTGGCATTCTAGATGGGAAGCTTCCTGCAATTTTGTATCTTATCCTTATGTCACGTCTCAGAAGTTGGGACTTGGGAGCTAGACGAACAAACTAAACGAGAAAGGAAGGCAAGCAATTCACCCTGTGGTTTTCGTCCTCCTTAGGGACCTTGCGGTTGGGATGCTTACATGAACAATGGTAGGATTTGCGAAACCTTGGATTAATCGATTTTAACCAGACCTGGCCTTCCACCAGGCTGTGCTGCTGCTCCCTGCTCAATTGCAGCTATTCTCTATCAACATTGCAGAAACGCATTTGTTTCGCGTAATCCAAATAGTCCGGAAGGAGCCTGCATCGGATGAACGAGGGAACTTGGAGGCTTAACCAAATCAATAATACTCTGGAAAATGACCCCGACAGGAGATCATTTTGAATCCATTCTAGCTCTATTAATAACATTTTCTAATAGGTTATAGGTAGTAGGGACAATACGACCTCCCAAGAACAGAACATTTAGCTTATCCAAGTGATGTAGCAACAACCATTGACAATCCAGATTGCCGACTTACAGCGCCAACTCCCCAGCGGGTTCAAGTTAGCTCCTTGTGGTTTATGAATTCATTTGTCCAAAAACTTGCTGTCATGACAGCTTCCACAGTGTATCATTCCAAATCCTCTCATGTCACAGCTAGCATACATACCATTTTTCATTTAATGTTGCAGGTTTCGCAATCTCCAAAATGGGTTCAAAAATCTCAGTTCCCACCCCACCCTCTAGCAGCCTCATCGAAAACATCCAACCAACTGTTACTATCAAACAGGACAAACGAAATTGAGGGCACACAATAATACACAGATTATCATGTGTGCAAAAGCTATCTTCTGATTCTCAGAACCACCCTCCTCCTCCTCCTCCATCTTCTTCCCCCACAGCAAACAATCAATGTTGTTCACACAAGGCCACCCAATCCAACCATTTCAGTAAAGACAGCGACACTAGAACTAACCAATGGCCATGCATTCTCTTGAAAACCATATGACAAAGGCATTGGACAGAGATATATATATTTTTTCTTTTCTGTCGGTACAAAACAGGTTTACCCAGATAGAGCACGCAATCTATGGTGGTTGGATCTAACTACTTCTCGCGGGTGTAGATTAAGGGTATTAAAGAGGTGTGACAGTGATAGGCAGCTTCCTCTTCATCTTAACTGTTGGAAAGTAGACAATGTCGTCCTCTTCAGCACTCCATCTGTGTTGTTAAATACAGATGGAAGCACATCAAAAAAGAGGGAGCCCAAAGTTATGGAGGGAAATTGATTGGAATTGGAGATGGAGTTTTTACCTGTAAGTGGTGACCAGGTGGTGGAGGAAGATTGAGATTTCAAGCCTGGACAGCTCCAAACCAGGACACAGCCGCTGCCCTCCACCAAATGGTGTGTAGCAGTTGTTGTTCACGCCAACTCCTTTCCCCTGCATTTGCAAAAAAAAAAAAAAAATATTGATAATATCGTCACAAGTGATTCGGTACTTCGAAATTATCTAGACTCAATTACTCAAATTTCGAACTGGATCGTCTTCATTACCTCCCATCTCCATGGATTGAATTGATAGGGATGCTGGTAGTTCTCTTCATCCATATGAACAGAGATGAAAGATGCCAAAACACACCAGCCTTTTGGGATCAAATGTCCTGCATTCACCCAAGAAAAAATGAAAACAACAAACTAAACACACAATTATCATTTTGGTGAATGCAGACACAGATATTAAAGTAAATATGGTTTATCATTCCAATTTACCTTTGATTTCCACATCTTTTAGAGCTTTCCTCCAAACCCCATTGATGATATTTGCCATCCTTAATGTCTCACTGATCACCTGCACAGACACCCCCACAATTATTAAACTATCACCAAATAATCATAACATCAAACACCTGCTATGCACTCCCATTAAGGCCAAAAGGAGAAACCAAAAATACAAAATATATATATAAAAAAAACCCCATGAAAGGGTAGAATGGAAATGAAAGAAGTGACTCACATTTTGAGTAAATGGCAAGGACATGTAGTCAGTCCAAGAATACTCATCACCCAACTCTTCCTTCTGCTTCTTCAGTTCCAAGTTCTCCTCCTACCACACCACCCAACACAAACAAACAAACAAACAGACACAATTAATCTATTTATTTATTAAAATTAACAGAAGCAATTTTCCTTATATTTCTCAACTCTATTTGTCTCTTTTTGGAGCTCTGAGTTGCGATCCAGAGACCCGATTTGTGGACTGGGGGAAGCAATTATTGCAGCAAGCAAAAGTGGTAAAGTTTCGAGCTTTGTTGCAGGGAAGTGGTAGTGAGTAGCCAAATCAGAGAGACACCTTTTAAAGAGGGAAAATAAAAACCCAGAGAGTTACGTTTGTCTACAGAATTGGGTTGGGTGGGATGGAGAGTTTTCATTCATGAAAGTGACCACACAAACCAATTGATGTAGATTTGTGTGTATGTGTCTTTTTGTACTGTGAAAGTTCTCAACTTCTCATCTTCCATACAACCCCCTAGGGTTTTTACCTCTGTTCCTAAACCTCTCCCAACACTCAAAGTACACATAGAAAAACAGAGTGAAGTTGCCAAGATCCATGCTATGGTGCTCTTCCATCTCTAACCACAACCTTACACATCGTAATTAATTTAGCATCGACGGACACTATTGAGATCACGGCGGAAAAAAAATCAAATAATATCAGCTCGTATTAAGCGATCACATCAATCACATCAATATGCTAGAATATTCACAATGTTCAGCTACCCACAATGTTAACAAACAAAAACAACTCCTGTTTTTTTATAGTAAAAGTTCGAGCATATTATTAAAAGGAAGTATCTTTTCAACGTGATGTGATGAGGGATGAAAAAAAAGAAAAATTAAACTAATTTCAACTTGTCCAAAAGTTTTGCTTAATATATATAGTTGGAGGGTTGGAGGGGGATGAAGGAGGTGGATTGAATTAATGACCTGCACGATGGAGATGTGGTTCTAGATCATATTATTACACATGGGCTCTTCCCATTTGATGTTTAACTATTGCAACTAATACCATAGTTAGTGGAACAAATCATTGTGTTTGCTTGTTTAACAATGAAATAATAATGTACATATGTATCAAGCTTAAATATACAACTTTTTTTGTTAACAAAAGTACACAGCTGGCAGTAATCAAAATACTTTTTGTAATAGATATTCAAAAGAAGAAATACCCCATACAATAATTTAAATACCAAGCCAAAATTAAAAAAATCAAAATGGGAAGAGTTATTCTTCAATAAAAAGTTAGATTGATTATAGACAACCAAGTTATAGCTACGAGACGCGAAATAGAACAAAACGATATCAAAGTTTTATTAACCTTACTTATTATATTGTTGTTATTAATTAATTACTAATAGTTTTTGTTTGTCATCATTGCAAATTTGCCAGAGTACCTTAATAAGTTTTGAGGAAATTTACCATGATTTTGGGCCATGGGGACAGCGAAGTTTATGTCCAAGTGGACCACTCCACGCCGGCCGGCCCGACAGCCGTCCAGTGAACGTATCGTACGGCCAAGAAACCCCCCCGGTTTCATTCCCCCTCCCACAAAAAGCCCAAAACCATTTTTTTTAAAAAGAGCCCGGGCCCACCGCCAAAACGTACCCACGTGTGCTTAACGAAAACGACCCGTCGGGAAAAAGTCAAACACTTTCCCGGCGCCTCATATAAAATCAGAAAAACAAAATATTCCGCTTTTTTCAATAATAATAATAATTTTGAAAAATAAAAGGAAGACGTCGCTGTTCTCTATTGTAGCGCCAGAAACTATCCTGACCGTTGGATAAAAAAAAGGGTCGAAAGGACAGACGGGCAAGATGTGATGTGATGGGATGGGGTGCACGGGTGGAAAACGTACCGTTAGTTGGTTTAAAGCGAGGGGGCAGTCGCTGAGGAACTTGACAGCCAGCGTCATGGCCGTCGGCACGGTTTCTTCCCCTGGGATCATCATCTCCAGGATGTTGGCGCTGACGAAATCCAACGGCAGCAGATGCTTCTCGTCGGTTTCCCCTAGGAGCACGTCCACCGCATCCCGTGGAGCCGCCTTCCCACCGCCGTCCGCCGTCATCTCCATCTCCATCTTCCTTCCATCCACGATTCTCTTCACCATCTTCAGCAACCTCTCTCTTGCCTGCATGACAAAAAAAAAAAAAAAGATATATATGAATATTGTCCGCCACTCCATGCATCATTCATTCATTAATGCTCAACATAAAAAAGAAAAAAAGCAGCCGCGTGACATAGAATACATATATAGAAGAAACGTAGCTTAGCTAGATCGGCGGGAAAAAAGTTACTTTGCAGACTAAGGGACAGTAATTGATACGATTACAAGTCTCAGTTGGATTGAGTCATAAATCTACGACTCCATTATATTACTGTTGGTTCACCTCTATTCCAATTTTCACTAATTCTTTAATCTAGTGGTAACGTGAACATCTATTCATCATCTTTTGGTTTCAACTTTGGAGTTAGCAACCAAAAAAGTGAACAAAAAAGATTCATACTATTTCATTGGTCAAACTACACCCCCATAAAATTGACTATCTTTCTCCTTCTATTTCATTGTCTGAGATTGTGAAAGCATACGGAAGATTGTACCAAAAAAGTTAGCGATAGAATATTTTGTACTAAGATCGTGGATCGTAGATTTCATACTGATAGAATATTTTTACTGCTCAACGCTATGATTTCAGAAACACGTTTAAAACAACAAACTTAAAATTAAGGTAGCTAGTGAATCATTATTAATAATAATAGTACCTACCTTCAAGGAGTTGTAGAGAGTGGTTCCAGGGAAATTGATGGGCAAGCAGATCAAGCCTTTGATGAATTCCTGGAATTCGGATTTCATGAATTCCAAATCATCCCCAGGGCCGACGCTCATCAGGGCTTTCACCAGCACTTGAAACGTCATCTGAATATCATCAAACACACACTAATATATATGATAGGTGCAAAAAACAAAAGTAAAACACGAAGATGGGATAGATAGAGAGATAGAGAGAGAGAGAGAGAGACCTTCCTGGTCTCGTCCTGGAGGAACAGCCGGTGCGTGCCCTTCCACGACTCCAAAGTCAACTTGACAGAGTGCTGGATGTCGTTGGTGATGTGGGCTTTGAACTGCGGGGATCGGAGAAACCCACCGATCAAAGCGTGGACCTTCTTCTGGACGGGGCCGTTGGTCTGGAGAATGGACTGCTCCCCAAAAAGCTCCCTGATGGATTTAGGGTAAGCCGGGATGAAGGAGTTGCTGCCATGGTTCTGCAACACCACTTTGTTCACTTCTGGGTCCGTCGACACGATGATGGGCGTCCCCAGGATGTTCGTTTTGAACACATCCCCATACCTACAATAATTAATTAATTAATAAATACCAACACGCACAAGGACAAGAAGAGAAGAGAAGAGAGAAAATACTGGGCCGATAATAATTAATTAAAAAGCTGAAATGGACTTTAAATGCAAAACGCAGTAAATTGTTCTTCCTTTGTGTAGCTACTGAGGCTAGGCTAGGGTAGGGTAGGCTAGTAGTATATAGGTATAGAGATAGGGGAGTTGGAGGGCTCGTTATTAATGCAAAGTTGAGGCCTTTTTTTTTTTTTATGTTTTGGGGATTTATTCTTCCTCCCTTTCTTCTTCTCTTTTGCTCATCGTCTTTGGATGGTTCTTCTGCTGTCTGTGGGGTTGTATAATTGTATGAAAGTGAAATTTCTCGACTTGAGTAAGGTGGAGGCTATGGAATCCAACCAACCAACAAAAGGCGCAGTAAACCCTTAACCCAATATCACCCAGATAGAACAAAACAAATAAAAAGGAGGAGATTTTTGGATTTTGTATGTATGATATGGAAATTTGGAGAAGCACCCATAAAAAGAACACACAAGAATATGTATGTTCAATTTATGTGGAATATTATTGTGAATTTAATAAGAAAAGAGTATTAAGGGCTAAAATAAGAGATTTTTTTATTGATATCTTTACATGGGATTATCAGCATAATTCTATATATGTAGAAGGTGAGTGATATGATGTGACATGTTGTTGTTGGGTAGTGACATGCAATACATACATACATAAATTGTTAATGAATTAGTCAAAATTCATAGTAGTTTTCGTTCTCCTCCCTCTGATTTCGGAGGAATTTTCCATCCAACGAGTAGAAATTAAGGGAAACTTAATCAAATAATTAACAAAGAGGAATCATGATCAGAAAAAAGTTAGTATCAGGCGGCGCTGGCATGTAGTTTTGGTGATAACTGATAATAATAATAATAAAATCCAGGAAATGCATCTTTTCAAAAAAATAAGAAAAGAAATGCATCTGCAACAACCGAAGCAAAAAACCCTACTCAGTAAAGGACGAGAAGGAAAGAAGAATTGATGGATCGCTTACAGAGATTTGCGGGCGTCCATGAAAGAAACGGGCCGAGAAGTGTATCCACAGGCAATGAAGTCGAGAGTTTCTCCGATCAAAGGCCAGCCCAGGTTCCCTTTCGGCACCGCCGCCGCCGACGACCCCTTGTGGCCGTCGTTGCATTGCCGCCGACACCACCACCACCACAAGAGCGGCAGAGCTCCTCCCAACAAGATGCCGACACTCGCTCCTAACCACCACATCTCTTCCCGTACCCTACTCGAATAACTTCCTCTTCTCTTCTCTTTTCAACTAATAATAATAATAATAATAGATTTATTTATTTATAGCCTTACTCCTAATCCTATCCACTATTTTGGAACCAATAATCCAATAATTCCTCCCCCTCTTCTTCTTTTTTTTTTTTTCTTGGGTCACCTCCTCCTTCCTCTCGATTGATTTGATTCTCTGAATCAAGGCTACCTGGCTGATCTCCAATATATATTGTGTATATATATCTAAACAATATAAATCGCCATATAAATTACGTTGCTCTCCTCGATCCTTCTTTTTCTCTCTCTGCCCAAGGAGGTATGAGGTTTTGTTGATGGGGACTTCGTGAGAAGGAATTGAAGATGAGCGAAATATGGAACTGATGATGAGAGCTACAGAGAGAGAGAGAGAGAAGGGCAGGGAGAGGAGAAAAAGAAAATAGCAAACCAGTAGAGAGAGAGAGATGTGGGAGGGGAGAGGAGAGAGAGAGAGGGAGTAGGAGAAGTGTATGGAGGAGAGATTGGCAAAGTAACACCAATTTATATTTAATGAAAGGAGGGACCGACCGGCCGGCCGGCCGGCCGGTCAGGGAGTCGGGTCAGTGTACCCACCCAACCCAAAGCGCCACGCAGATGCATTTTGTCCCCAAACGCAAATCATCATCCATATTCCAAATTTATCACTCCCTTCCATAGTTGGTAAAATATGGTTCGGAAAAATTACGTATAAAAATACATACGAGTATTTTACATTATTTTTAAGTTAATATTATATTTAATAGTATGTTGATAGTCATAAATATATAAAATTAATTATTTAAAAAAAATAGTCAGGTTAACAATTTTATTCATTAAATATGGATATTATACGTGTTATACGGATATTATACGTGTTTATTATGGGAGCCATCAAATGAACAATAAGAAATGAAACGGCCTGACAATAATACGGATGCAGAAGTTTTAAACGTATAAAATACGTACTGGTACATATACGTGTATTAAACGAAATATTTAGTTACTGACTATGCTACCTTCCTCCTGCCTAGTTCCACGTCAACGCATACGACTCCCTCAACACACTCTTCTCCACACTTCGATTAAGTTTATCCTAAATGCTTCAACTTGTACTCATCAGTCATCACTCCAAACCTTAAGCCATTGTTAAATTATATACATAATTCAACCACAAATCATGTACTCATCAGTCATCACTCCAAACCTTAAGCCATTGTTAAATTATATACATAATTCAACCACAAATCATTTCATGAGCATTTCTACTATGCTACATAGTATTGGTGCTTTAATGTACGACTTAAAGTTGTACCATAACATGAAATGTATAAGTTTAAATTGTACCATAAAGAATTTGTACCATTATGTTATGGTACAACTTTACAACTTGAAGTTGTACAATCACATAAAGGTACAAGTTCAAGTTGTACCATAAAAGAATTTGTACAAATAGTATAAGTATAATTCAAAGTTGTACCATAACGTTAAATGTACAGTTTCAATTTGTACCATAAAGACAAAAAACCTATAGCACCAATACTATATAGCATTGTAAAATTCCTCATTATTTCATCCCACAAACTCATTTTTTTTTTGAAGTACAGTGTAAATTAGAATTAATTTAAGATCAAATGTAATATTTGCTTGGTTTATATGAGAAGTCTGAATTTGAGTACCTTAAATCGATGAATTCGAGAGAGACACCTAAGATGCGTATCACATGGCCTCATTTTAATAACTCCAAAGGAATGAGCCGATTGCCTACATCTCCTGTTCTATAAGCACTTACATATAGAGTTGACTTTTGTAAATCAACACACTGACCACTCATATGTTCATATATTCAGCCAAATACACGAAGGAAATTAGGAAATTATTCGAGTCCAATTGTACACATTTTATCCATCATTTCTTATAGTTTGACTTTGCATTTCATCATTCCTCGACCTATTATAAGTTAGGTTGTGTTATTTTTGTTATGTTTCCGTTCCTAGCACGTGTGGGAAGGTCGAGTATGAGTTCGGGACAAATGGAGGCAAGAATGACAAGGAAATGAAGAAAACATAAGTGAACCCGGCCAAGACACGACCGTGTTCCTAGACCGTGTTCAACACCTTCAGTCTGGACACGACAGCGTTTCAGGCGCTAGAAGATTCTTGTCATTCAGCGAACATGGTCTGGACACGGCCGTGTTCGTTGGCCGTGTTAGAGGTCGAGTTCTAGGAGATTGTGCGCACATCGGGGGCCTAGCAGTTATCACGGTCGCCTCGATAGTGATATTCAATGAAGAGGGCGTGAAGTCGGCCAAAAACGGTGCCTTTTGTCAAGGATTAAAGAACATGGCTTGAACACTCCCGTGTTCACAGGCCATGTTAGGGCTGACTTGAAGTTTCCTTAGCTCGCGATCAAAACACCACACTCGGGATATAACACGGTCAGAGGACACAACCATGTTCGTGACCGTGTTCGAGCTGATTTCTGCGGAGCGTAAATTCTGGAGTTGAAGAAAGAAGAGTGGGCTAGCTTTTTGGTAGGTTTTCAGGGTGCAGAATAAAAGAGGATTTCTAATGAGAGGTTAGGGTTTCTTCTTCACAGCTAGAGAGAAAGTGTCATTCAAAAGAGGAAGAAGGAGATTGAGCTTTATTAAAGCTAGAAGAGTGTAGATTCTTACCTCTCAAGTGAGATTCAAGCAACAAGGAAGGAAAATTGTCATCTCTTCATGGTTCTTTCTCTCCTTTATGTTGTTTTCAGTTGGCCAGCTATGGTAAATATGTGATAGGTTGTATTAATTGAATGCTTTGTATGTGGGTTTGTGTTTAATGCAAAGTTTGAGGTATTTTCATGATGTTTGGGTTGCGTTTTTCATTTCTCATTACTATGCCAATTTGACATAGGTAGAGGGAAACCCCCTTGTTGTTAGGAGACTTTGATAATCGAGATTCCTTGGCCAATTGAGCCACCTACCTAGGACGAATTAGGGCAAGCCTCAAATTTATATTTAACACTGACTTGGGTGTTATGCCGTCCGGATGAAGTTCTGAGGGATTGGTTCTTGCAACCCTTAGTTAAGCGATTAAGAGAGCTAGGACTCCTAGCTTGGAAGATTGGAGAATTGTCGGCCGGAGTGAGCGAGGAAGATTGGAGAATCGCCAGTGAGAGTGAGAGAGGAACATCGGAGATCCGACGGCTGGAGTGAGCAAGGAAGATCGAAGAACTGAATTTTCAACCACAGAGAGCGAGAGAGATCGAAATCGCCCTTCGATCGGGATGAGTGAGGAGGGAGATCATAATCATTTTTTCTTTGGATAACTTTGGGTGTCGTTTTTTATATTTTGAATTGCTAAACTAAAACATAACCTATATTATTTATAATCAAATATTTCAACTGGAGAAATGGAGGAACGAATGAAATTTGGTTGTCTGTAGCAACTAGCAAGGGTTTTTTAACCCTTGAAACAAAACGTTGGTACAATAAATTCTGAAAGAAAGTAGTAAGGGGTTTGAAACCCTCCTATAGAACCCTTGGAATAAAAGCTTTTTTTGTAGTGCAACAATGAGAAAGAGGGGTGAGCTTAGTTCGTGAGGGTTAGGGAATTAAAATGAATAATATTTTTATATTTAATGGTAGTGATAATGAAGTAGAAATTTTAAATTTAGTTTTTTTATAATTTTTAAATTGCCACGTCATACATTTAACGATCAACTATGAGAGTTGACTGCCACATCAGACAAAGTTAACGGAGTTGGACGGAGATTGACCAAACATGACATGTTTTACTAAACCCAATGAGCACGAATGAAATTAAATATTTTTAGTGACAAACACAAACCTTTTTAGTAATCACAGTGACCAACTTTACAATTTATCCATATTCGATAGTACAATATAACCTCTATAATTAATATAGTCGGGACCGTGAAAATTATTAATTTTTTGTAGTTATTAATTAATTGATAAATTAATAATTATTGTTTTAAAGAGGTTTTTCTTATATTGTACGTTCATCGTATCTTCCAAACATTTCAAGTCCATACAATAACTTATCGCATTCTATGTATTCATTGTACTAAAATTTAATAGACAAAAATTATGTATTCTTCCAAGATAAATGTATTCAATGTATTCTTGTAGATGGTCTAGATTCGTCTTTTAAATTACTTGCACCCCTATATTCATTGATGATACATTTAATATAATTTATCAAATATATCGTGACCCGATCACTATATATAAGTAGTACTACAGAAACATTGTAAAATTACTTGCACCCCTAAATTCATCGAATATATGGTGACCCGATCTGTATTTAATTACTTGCGCTCCTATATTCATTGATCATACTCTTCAAAAATACTTGATGCAATTAGAGAAGACAACACCGGAGACTTTGAGTGCAATGAGGAAAGTTCAAGATGAACTTCTATTAGACTTGAACTTCAAGAATAAACAAACAACTATATGTTCATATTTTTTTTAGATTATCCTAGCTATATTATAAATTTCTAAATGAATTGTATTTTAACAATTATTAATTTATAGAGTTAAAAATACATGTATTTATGCAAGTTGGTTCTAAAAAATTATTATCTTATTACTTTATTAAATTCACTCATTTTTTACACTAGCACAAGTCGGGACAAGAGAAATTATTAATTTATACTAGGTTATTAATTTATCGATTATTAATTTAAATAGGTTATACGTTATAAGAAATAACATTTTTTTCATGTGAAAATATGGTGCGAGTCATTCGAGTGACTTTCAATCCATCCACTGCCCACCCAGTCACCAACATAAGTGTAGGTAGAAGATTTATCAATCTGCAATCCACCAACATCAATCATCCACTAACTGTGATCCAAATTATTTACATATGGATGAGGATGACAATGGGTAGGGTCGGGTGCGGGTTTACCCTATACCAACTCCTAACCCGCTGGGTAGAGCCTTCTAAAATACCCGACCAAATAACCACCGGGTATGAAAATTATATAACCATACCCTACCCACCGGGTAACCACGGGTATTCGGGTAACCATGGGTACGAATCCTAAACTATGAACTTATACACATATATGCACATACATACTATTGTCCATTAAAAATTCTCAATACTTAACTGTTCTAGCTTCAACAATCCACACAAATAAAAACAACAAACACATAATAATTGTTCTTGCTTCTATAATCCACATAAACATAATAATCGTCTACATCTTCATCATCAATAATGGTAGCTACACTTAATTTCTCAAGCTAAACTAAATTTCTCAAGGGAAATTGACCCTTTGATTAGCGGGGCAGGTATAACGGGCGGGTATTATCGATTACCATACCCGTACCTTACCCTTTATTTTGAAACCGGGTATTACCCGTACCCGCCCCTTAACCCGTCAAAGCGGGTAATTACCCTCGTTGACCGGTTACGGTCGTCGGTCGGGTAGGGTACCCATGGTTACGGATTGGATTGACATCCCTACATATGAATCGATATCAACCCGCGAATTAACCACTCACGTCCCCGCTGCTAATTCCTAACTGTAACCGCATTGGATCAGATGAGGACTCGGTTCAGCCTTCAGGGCTCACGCATCTCAAAGTTGGAGTGGGAGGGCAGCGGGGGGCACGTGAAGGAAGCCCACTGGGCCTTGGTGGCTGAATTGTCAGCTCACCCTATTCCCCTTCTCTCTATCTGCTCTCTGGGCCCATTTCCTTTTCACTGCTATAAGTTGTGGAGACGCATCCAAAAACACACATCGACTTGTCTTCATCAAACCCAGAACTATCACAATCACCTCTTATTTATCAGCCACCTTCCCATCTCATTCTCTCTCTCTTCCACCTCGCTTAGCTGTTTCCTCATGATCCTATCTGCATGAGGAATTATTCAATGGCCTGGCTACCCAGTTTTTGGACCAAAAATCCGTCCGTCTGAAAAAAATACACGTAGGATACAGTGTCATATTCTAGGATTCGCCATGTCAGGTAAGTTTTCCCTGTTCAGGTCAAACTGACAATGATCAGGTGCCCCCAGTTAGTATTTCCAAAGCTGGGGTCTTCCGAAACAGATCTCCATTAGACTAGTCTAGTCTCTGAACATAAACAGCTAGTGATAAACAGTATGGCCATATAGCTCAACATAACATTTACAAAAATCCTTCAGAGAGGTGTACAGAATTATTCTTAGAACCTTGAAATCAAGCAAAATGCAAACAAGCCTGTTCTGATAACTTTGCAAGTGCTACAAACAATCAGACCGCACAGGCCACACCCTCGTTCTCCACCGTGTTACAGTAAAACAAGCTCAGCTTAGTGATGGCAAGTGCCTCGCCATAAAGCGAGGCGCGTGAGGATCTCAAGATCCGAACTTCGACATAGTCACCAACAACAGGATTCCTTTGCTGCTGCTGATCAGCAGCGCCTTCGGCGGTCCTATTTGGAACTGGCACAGTGACAAATGAAACTCGGTGGCCTCTGTCACTCTTGCCCATAAGCTCCGTCTCGGGAGCTCTCTTGTTGGGTCCTTCTACAAGGACAAGTTGGACACTTCCGATTTGGGAGTCATAGCACTGGCCTGTGCTTTCACGGAATGTCTCGATCAGCTCCGTCAGCCTTCTCTGCTTGACTTCTTCAGGGACGTCATCTGCATAGTTTCTGTGAGCATGGGTTTTCTCCCTCATGCTGTATGCAAACATGAAAGCCATATCGTAGCCCACCGTACTCACGAGGCTCAGTGTTTCCTTGTGGTCTTCTTCTGTTTCTCCACAGAAACCTACCAATTACAGAGAAACAGAATACGAGTATATCATATACACCGAGTAATTGCCATTTCTTTGGCTATCAATTTTAATGCAGTCAGCCATTTGAAACAATCTGCTAGCAACTCATAGCAGATTGACTGGAAGCCGACTCTTGATCTAAGAGAAAGGTCTCCAGGAATGCTAAATCCTAAGCGATTCCCCTCTTCCCTCCCTTCTCGACAATATTATTCAATAAATCCAAACAAACATTTAAAGAACACAAATATCAGCTCAAGTCAATTTGGCTCCATGGGATTGAACTAGATGCACTTAATCAAAGTTCCAACTTCTTGATCAAATAAACTTTAACCTGTAACATCTATCTATCAGATTTATGTGGACCAATTATCTTTATCTTTTTATACTAACTTGCAACATCAATATATCAAATTTATGTGGATCGAATTATCGTTATCTTTTTTATACTTCCAATTGTACAGTCTCTTTTCGATAACACTTCAAAAGTTTGTGGTGTTATTTAGTGATTTCACACAACTCAAATATTTAGATATTTCATCTTATTTATAAATAATCAACAGATTGTGAGACTACCTAATCATTTGACAATCTTTGCTTATTTAAATATTTCCTCAATAGCACCCCCACTTTAGTTGACAACTTCTCACCGTTGACACCAACTAGATGAATCAAATGTAGTCGCCCGTTAAAGCAATCTGCTAGTAACTCAAAGGCAGATTGCCTGGTAGCCCACTCTTAAATCTTAATGCAAGAGAAGGGTCACTTAGAAATGCTAAACCTCCTGACATTCTCGACTTCCTTCCCTTCTAAACAATTTATTCACTAAAGCCAAATAACCATTCAAACGAAGGCAAGAATCTGCTTAAATCAAATGGGTTTTTGAAGCTTAAATAGATATGTTAATCCCATATAGAAAGTGCAAGTGTAGTCACTTTTAAATCAAAAGAGCTCACATACCACATATGAAATCACTGCTTATGCCAACATCCGGAATAGTTCTCCTTATCTTCTCCACCAGTTCCAAGTAAGCCTCTCTAGTGTATCCGCGGCGCATTCTTTCTATCATTCTGCTACTCCCACTTTGCGCTGGTAAATGGATGAAATTACAAACATTATGCCTGTTCCTCATTACATGGAGCAAGTCATCAGGGAAATCTTTGGGGTGCGGCGATGTGTATCTGAACCGCATCTCTGGGAACTCGGTAGAAAGCCGATCCAGGAGATCTGAGAAACGTAAACCCACGTTCTTAATCTTGCACATGCTTGAGAACCCTTCACTGTACTTCCAGTTGGAACCTGCTTCAACTTCTTGTTCAACTCCTGATTCGTCATTATAGCTGTTCACATTCTGGCCAAGAAGTGTAACCTCTTTCACGCCTTCTTCCCATAGCTCTCCAACCTCTTTCACAATCGATTCCACAGGACGTGACCTTTCTCTCCCTCTAGTAAATGGAACTATGCAGAATGAACACATATTGTTACAACCCCTCATCACAGACACAAATGCAGTGACTGAATTCTTCATGATTCTAACTGGGCTGATATCAGCATAGGTCTCTTCAAGTGAAAGAAGAGTATTAATCCCCTTCTGACCATAGTCAACCTCTTGAAGCAACCTAGGCAAATCTCTATATGCATCTGGTCCACAAACCACATCAACCATTTTATCTGAGTCTAGTATCTTCTCCTTCAGCCGCTCAGCCATACATCCCAATACAACCACCTTTGGAGGATGAATCGACTGTGCCCTTCCTTGGGCAACATTGCGCTTCCATTGTCTCTTTAGAAACCAAAAGTAATTAAGCCTCTGCCACACCTTTTGCTCCGCATTGTCCCGGATAGCACAAGTGTTTATGAATATGATCTCAGCAGCTTCTGGGTTGTCTACAGTTTCTCTATATCCAGCATTCTTCATTACGGACAACACAACTTCCATATCACTGATATTCATTTGGCAACCGTATGTTTCGTGATATATACGCCCTTTGGCAGGGGTTTCCGTTTCTTCTGTGACAACTTCATTAGCTGCTACAACACTAGATAAAATCGAACAATGGATGGAAGAAGAAAAAAAAGCCACCGTCACGGTCTAATTGAATCGGTGTTAACATGGTCGAATCAGACTAGTCAGAGCTAAGGGAGATAAAATTTATGGGGATAGTGGGGGAACTCACTCAGGCTGAGTCTGCAAAGCGGAGAGAGATGCTTGGGCAACGAAGTGATGAAGCCCAGGGCCTTCGGATTTGGCTGTAGAAGGAAGGTGCGACTGAGAAAAGCTCCTGCAGAGATTTAGAGCAAAGCTGCTTCCTTTGAGCTGCCGCTGGCTCCAATGGCGGTGAGGATACGCAGCTCGGACGGTTTTGGAGGAGAAGAGTTTCGGTGTAAGGCAGCAGCATCGTCTTTGAATGGCGATGGCACGGTGCGGTTTTTGCAGAATTGCCGAGAGAGAGGAGAGCGATGAAGACGCCATTGAAGCAGAGCCAAAGAAGCTACGCTACGCCTAGGATTAACGATTACCCAGCGGCTGCGGCCAGTGGGACTTGCCAATCCAAAACTAAACAAGGCCTGTCTAAACAATAACCAGTTTGCACAAGCCCAGCCCATGAAGAACTCGTGCGGGCCCAAACGGAGACTGGCCCGAAATATGGTATGAAGGCAAGGCCACCCTCCGTCGTCCACGTGGACAATTGGCCATTTGTTTTTTTTTTTGTTACATGAGAAAACTGATAAAGTGGGAATTCCAGCTCGGTATTGCCGGAGAAGAGGAAGAAAAAGAACGACGCGGTGGAGATGACGACGGCGATGGTGGAGAAATACAAAGCATTCTATCGCTTGCTCAATAAAACTTCGAGAACACTTGTTGATCGCCGATTCAGACAGCAGGGGCAGTGCGCTCGCGGCGGCTCTGCTGCTTCAGGTACCAAACCGACTAATTTGATCAGTTGATAATTCTTGTCTCGCCATTGGCGGAGCTGCTGAACTTCTAAGCTTCACTTCTAGGTCTTGACCATCGCCCAGACGCAGTTGTAGAGCAACGCGTCTCTTATCTCGGATGTCCAAAGCGAGGTTTATGGACTTCTGCGCGAGCTTCTCTTCCGAGTTTTGTTGACGGAGGCTTCGCGAGGGATTACCCGATGAATCGGTGTAGAAGCTTTGGTTCAGTTGCTGGTGAAATTCAGAGAAGCTCCAAGTTTGCGACGTTGAACTCTGATGACGTGGCGCACTTCAAAGAGATACTAGGTGAGAGAAATGTGGTTCAGGATGAGAGGCTGGAAGCTGCAAATAGTGATTGGATGCACAAATACGTAGGGTCGAGTAGGCTTCTTCTGCTTCCAAAGTCCACAGATGAGGTCGTCTTACTATATTGTTTCTTTTCTGCCATTTGAAATTTTGGACGACTACTAATTCGATCGCATGAAATGGGGCTGCAGGTTTCAAGAATTCTGAAATATTGTAATTCCAGATGCTTGGCTGTTGTTCCACAAGGTGGAAATACTGGACTTGTAGGTGGAAGTGTGCCAGTTTTTGATGAGGTGAAGGAGATATTACCCTCATGAATGACTGTTGCGAAATGTCTTCTTTTACATTCTTCTATTGACCCTTTTAATTTTTTTTAAATGATTTGCAGGTTATCATCAATATGGCTTTAATGAAGCAAGTGATATCTTTTGACAAGGTAGATACACTAAACTGCTTAGCAGACCTCGTGGTTCTCATTAGACTCATATGGGGACATTCTTTATTTCTTTCCTTCTGGTTTATGGGGATAGTCTTCTTGGGTGGTGTCATGTTTCAGATCAGTGGTATTTTAGTTTGTGAAGCTGGATGCATACTGGAGGATCTAATCTCCTTTTTGGATAACCAGGGGTTAGTGGCTTCTGAACTATGATCCTCTGTGGAAGGTTAATGGATGACCATGGTTGCAGAGCCCATAAATTATTGTAAACTCTGTTAGTTATATTGTTTAGAAAATCTTGTAAGGAGATGGTTCACTAAATTTTTTTGACGATGTTCACCATGTTGTGTGCTCATAAGTACAGTGCTAGTAATAGTATGTGTCTCTATTCATGTTGCATTTAAGTGAGTGATGCTTTCATTCAGATTTGTTATGCCACTCGACTTAGGTGCAAAAGGAAGCTGTCAAATTGGTGGAAATGTTGCAACCAATGCTGGGGGTTTGCGCCTTATTCGTTATGGTTCACTTCATGGGAATGTACTTGGTGAGAGTCATAGTTCTCCTCATCTAAAATTGGGTCATTAGTGAAATTCCATTTTTCCTTCTCTTAGATCAGTGCTCCTTTAAGGTTCATTTACAGACTTCACACAGCTAGATTAAATAAGCTGGAAGATTGTGTTAATTAAAATATTATATCATCAGTAGGTCCTTGCCTGCCTATATATACTCTGATGATTTGCCTAATCTGGTAGGCCTTGAGGTTGTACTGGCAAATGGCGATGTCCTGGATATGCTTGGCACATTACGAAAAGATAATACTGGTTATGACTTGAAACATTTGTTTATAGGTACGTGCTGCTAGTCCTTTTTGCTACTGAATTCAATTTCATTTGTCAATTTTCAAAAGAGTCATGTAGTTCGTCATTCTTACTGCAGGAAGTGAAGGTTCCCTAGGAATTATTACGAAAGTTTCAATACTAACGCCTCCAAAGTTGTCTTCAGTCAATATAGCTTTCCTTGCGTGTCAAGATTATCTGAGTTGTCAGGTATGAATCCAAGAGAGTAGAAAACACGTTTCTTTGCCTGGAGAGATGTTATTTTTCTATGTGATTTTCTTTTATGGTGCGTGCATAACTTGTGCAACACAGCCATACTGTTGCTCTAGCATATATCTGAGGTTTGTTTGAGGAACGTTGCGTAACTTTTTGTAACCTGTTAGGCATGTTCTCTTCCGAGTTGTTGATCATCATACTGTCTCTGGCAGCATGATTATTGGTGGATAGATAAATCATAGAAGTGAAGCTCTCTTTTTGTTAACTTGTCCCTCGACGAAGTTACTGGGTTGTCCAATGTTGCTGCTTATTGTTACTTGTTTGTCATGTTCTATCCTGAGTTATACATCATAAATTTGTCTGGCAGCTTGTTCAATTGGCTTGTCCCATAAACTGCAGCACTCGTTTCTTGATGAAAATAGTGGGATCTGCACAGGATTTGTTCCTTGGACTAGATTTATCTAACATACACAAGGGGTGGATCATATTTATTATCCAACCACTAAGGACAAGCTTGGATGTATCATGTCGTTTCAGATAGATTTATTGAGTCAATTTTAAGTTTTTTGTTTTTGTGTGATAGTCATCTGTTTGCTTTACTATTAAGAAATAGAGTTCCATAGATACTCATGTTGTTTCTTCTTAATCTTTTCGAACTTTACGTTGAATTAAGAAGCATAACGCATAAGATGCTTGTGGGCATTTATTCAGAAACTTCTGCTGGAAGCAAAGAGGAGTCTTGGAGAGATTCTATCAGCCTTTGAATTTATGGACAGTGTCGCGATGGATGTGGTACGGCTACTCTACTGCTTGAAAACCTTTTTCTTGTTATTGAATTGAATACTTCTTGACTGTTAAGCAAAAGGGCCATTTTTTTGCATTGCTATAGTTCTCAATCTTATCAGACGGCTACTTATTCTACTCTGTGTATTAGGTTTTAAACAATCTAGATGGTGTTCGGAACCCACTGGCTCCCACTGCGCACAACTTTTACGTTTTGATTGAGACAACAGGCACCGAAGAGTCCTATGACAAGTATTTTCTTCCTCAATTTTCATATTTGTTTCAGCATAATGTCAGAGGTTCAGTACTAATTTACTTATGCTGCAATTGTTGTCACGGTTGAGAAGTATAAATGGGTGGTCTCCTATAGAATCGCATATCTTGCATACATAATAGTCATTTTATACTTCACTTTGAACCAACAACCCTAGAAGCAATGAATATGGATTAAATTTGGGGAAACAGCAAGGAAAAGTAATCAAAACTGGGTACGCAAATGTGATCTCTTTTAATTTTTTGGGTTGGTGGGGGGGGGGGGGGGGGGGGGGGGACAATAGCGAGAGAAAATTTTGGGAAGAAAATCTAGCTCAAACTACTTTCCATTATACAGATAGGAGACTTGTTTTCATAATTTTAGATCTTTCAATGAACGATAGCTTTTGGCCCAATATGATAGAATCTTTGATTTGTGCTTATGTCCATGTGTCATTCTCCATTCAAGTTACCTTCTGTTCCATTGTGTGTTTGGTTCTATCCATAATTGTTGGTAGTATGCATTCTTACTGTGGTGAGTTTGTGTCATTGAGTGACAGCGGGAGAATTTTTTTGGAAGGAAATCTAGCTCAAACCACTTTCCATGGACCAGTTATTCTATAACAATCAGATTATGCGGATAGGAGACTTGCTTTCATAATTTTAGATATTCAATGGACGACAGCTTTTGGCCCAATTTGATAGAATCTGTGATTTGTGCTTATGTCTATGCGTCATTCTCCATGCAAGTTACCTTTTGTTCATTGTTTGGTTGGTTCTATCCACTATTGTTGGTAGTATGCCTTCTGAGTGTGGTGAGTTTGTGTGATTGGGTGACAGAGAGAAGCTTGAGAAGTTCCTAGTAGGATCAATGGAATCTGGTTTAATTTCCGATGGCGTTCTTGCACAAGACATCAACCAGGCTTCTGCATTCTGGCGCTTGCGTGAGGTTCCTGATTCTTACTCTGTTTTTTTTTTTTTGGGATTACTGCCTATTCTTGTGTGGATGGTATGCATGGAGGGCTTGTCAGGCGCATCCATTACTTTATATACTAGTTTCACAGCGTCTAATTTCAGAAATTAAATATGAAGGTGGATTTTGGTTGCAGGGTGTACCTGAATCATTGCAGAGAGCAGGTGCTGTTTACAAATATGATCTGTCCTTGCCTGTTGAAAAGATGTATGATCTTGTTGTGGAAATGAGAGCCAGACTAGGTAAGCAAAAGGTTGTTACAATGATCTGGTTTGAAATGGCTATCCTTCTATATATATAGTGAAACTCGCTAGGTGTGTGCTAGCCTGAGCTATATATACATATATTATTCAACACTCGAAGAATTGTCATTGTGGTTTGCAGGTGAGTCGGTCAAAGTTGTGGGATATGGTCATCTTGGTGACGGAAATTTGCATCTCAACATTTCGGCTCCAAAATACGATGATGCAGTAACTTCCCTACTGTTCCTCATTGAAAAGAAACCGTTAGCAAATTCGCTGTAAGCACTTTTCACTGAGAACTGATGGTGGTGTTGCAGATTTTAGCTCAAATCGAACCTTTTGTCTATGAGTGGACATCGAATCACCGCGGGAGCATAAGCGCAGAGCATGGCGTTGGACTGATGAAGGCCAACAAAATCTTCTACAGCAAATCACCTGAAGCCGTGCGTTACACTGGAAAAATAATAAATCCCTGCTAATTTACTACAATTTCACCACAGGTGATAATATCAAGTGATGTTATATATGTTTGTAGGTTCAACTGATGGCTTCCATTAAGAAGTTGGTTGACCCCAAGACCATACTCAACCCCTACAAAGTTCTTCCTCACTCCCTCATGTCCTACAGCTGAAAGGTAACCAACTCAACCTGCTGAAATGTTCATCCTCAAGTACTGCCCTGCCCTGGAAAAGCTCGTATTTTGCAGCATTTATCATATAAGTAGGGCTTCGCTTTCCGCTTCAGTTTATTAGTTTATGTGTTTGGTTATATTATCAAAAACTTGATGTATGTAAATAAGGCCATTTTCAGGGATGTCAAGCCATTATTGGCATCAATTCGATAGCCCAAAGGCCAAAACCCGAAGGGGATTGAAGATTTGGTGACTAAGGATGTTCTTAGTCAAGTCCTTTTTAATCCTTAGATCAAGACATGGTGAGATTGTGAGAAGAGATATTTATTAAATGTTGGAGATAATGGTTGTATACATAATGTTAGAAATACACTAGCTACAATTTAACACTGTACACCGCCGTTTATCACCAGTTACCAACATATACAAAGGTGGTATACTTGGTTTGAATTTTATTTCGGCATATTTGTATATCATAATGGATTAAGATGAACTCGTTCATCCGGTGCAGAAATTTAAAAATTATAGTTAAATCGGAGAAGGTACATAGATGACGAGGTGATAACGAGTGAAAATGGGCGGCATGAATTTTTTTTTCACGAAATAAATAAAAAATGGATGTCATTTTATATATCACAATGTACTCATTCTATCTGTGAAGAAAAAAAAAATCGAGTTGGAACAAAGTAATTACAACTCAATTAAATAAAGTAGGGAAAAAAGTTTTTTTTTTTAATTTCACCCCTTATATCTAACCCCATTCAAAATTAAGAGACTCAGATCTAGTTTTGCACAAATGCATAACCCTATTTTAGACTTCTCATCACTCTCTCACTTGTCTTCCACTGAAAAAATAATTTTTATTATTATCTCTCTACCAGAAACATCATGAAATTGACCAAAAGTTTTTGAAACTGACCAGAAATCTCATAAAGCAGACCACAAGTTTCCTGAAATAGACTAGAAAGATGAGAGGCGGGGCAGAAGGGCAATTTTTTTATAAGTAACCTACTGGGACCGCGTGATATTACTACTGTCTTATCATGATATTATGACATCAATGTCTCTTGCGCAAAAATAAAATTTCATACTCTGTTACCAACTATCACACCGACATCATACTCAAAAATAAAATTTCATACTCTGTTTTTGTTTTTCTGGCAGCTTGCTTGTGCTAGAAGGCAGCTTACTTCGTAGCAACTTCGAGCCTTTTGTTTGAAGCCTTCCAGATATCCAATCTTTCATCCAATGCCTTGCCTTTGAAGAAAAACATACATAATTTCATGTGATAGAGGCCTCTGGACTCAACCCTCATCCATGCTTCTCGAATTGAGCTCCAAAGTAGGCTTCACAAACACGTTCCCAGACTTATCCATTTTCAGGCAGTTTCTCGGTTTTGGCATAGCCTTTTTATCAGGTAAAAAAAATGATATTCTGGACTTCCTATCGAGTTCCAAGCATTTCAATGTGTAGAGGGACACTCCAGCTTCAAAACAAGCCATTAATCTCCAATTTTCATCACGACAATTGTAAGATATGAATCTCCAAAGTAGGCACCATGAAACTGTTTTTACACTGAAACAACAGATTAGGTCGACCTAATCCTAACTGAGATCGACCGAAAAGTGCAAGTTACGGTGACTTACAAGGCACCATAGGCGCACCCTAACCTTTAAACCATCTTTTTTTTGGTAATAAGATTTAAACCATCTTTGTTAATAAGATTAAATCAATTAAAATTTGACTTTGCTACACTACCATTCTAGTATTAATAGAAACATGGCCATTTTTAATGATAACGCGTCACTTTTCAGCGAGCCGTTTTCTTCAACGATTACTAATGAAAGACTTACACTTAATATATATAATCAGAATTTGCACAAGCAATTCCCTGGATATCATATTGCTAGATCATTAAATGTTAATAATAGGAATACCTAGATTCTTGTTGGTTGATCGTCTGGGACTTTATGCAAAAAACACATGACGATTTGCAACCGGACGATACCTCGAGAGCACAATCCGGGATGTACTGTGACCTTTCTCAATCAAACATGCGTAATCCACTGACGGGAAACCTCACGTATTCCTGATGGGGAGAATATGTGTGTATGTTGGTCTTGATGTGTTGGAGACCACAACCTCAATTCATTTATATACAAGTCTCACAATGGGCTCCCATAAAACCCAAGGTGATTATGTATTGGGTTTCCACCCATTTAGGTCCATATCACCTAAACGATGTCTTTGGGCTCCTTACTTTGGATTAGATCACTTAATTACCTAATAACCAAATAACAAATATAATTGTTATAAACAAATATGTGGCCCACATAATTATTAGGAAATGAAATTTCCTAACAATCTCTCACTTGCGCTTCATATTTTCTCAAAACAATTATATTATAAAATTCTTTAGGCGCACAACTGTATGCTATTTGCACTTAGACATATTCTGAAAAACAATCTGCTCGCGAGCGGCTTGCCGTTCGACTCGGAAAAAGCTCATTCGAAACTCGCCTCGTTTACTAATGAGTCGAGCTTGAGCTTAACTTTCTGCAGTTAGCAGAGCTCGCGAGCTAACTCGACTCGGTGGCTTGTTGAGCTCAACTCGTGAGCTAGCTCGTTTAGAGCTCATGAGATGTCTCAACTCTCAACATTGTGGCTAGCGAGCCAACTCGATTACCGAGTTATGAGCGAATCGATCTATATTAGTTTGATTTTGATAATTTATAGGATTGTTAAATTATATATCTCATCCTACATGAAGTTTAACACGTAGATCATGGGAGCAAACATGTCTTATCTAATTTTAAAAAGCAATTATGTATCATTGATTGCTTCGATACTGTGAAATAACATAATTTTCACTACTTAAAATTTGATACCATAAAGTATATGAGATTAGCCAATATTGGACACTTTACTATTATTATTATTATTATTATTTTCATCTTGACATTAATCACATGTATTATGTTTGACATACAAAATGAATATATCAAATATGAGTCAAGATTTTACTAAATAAGCTAGCTCGAAATCGACTCGTTAATAAACTAGCCGAGCTCAAAATGGGGTAAAACTCGGCTCGACTCGGCTCATTTGCAACCTTAGTTGGGCGACAGATCATTGGGAAAGGGAAAATAATTCCTTGACCAAGCGTTAAATGGTTCAATTATGGTATTTGTGGCTGGAATTCTGTTTGTTATTCATGTTTTTTATCCGGTATATTCCGGTATTACTCCGAAACGGTATCCTGAAACTCTCGGTACGGTTTTCTAACAAAAAATTAATTTTTATTACAAAATGGTATTTTATTGGTACACATTGGTTGAACCATGGTCGTACCACAAAATACCCTACCACATACGAGTTCGATATGACTTTCGATACGAATTCCTAAACCATGATCCCTTGTAGGGATGGCAACAAAACCCTAACCAATGGGTACCCACCCGACCCAACCCGGTTAACGCGGGTAAAATCCGTGTTGACGGGTTTTGGACTGGGTTTGGGTTTAAACCCGTTCACTATTCAACGGGTTGGGTTTGGGTTTAGGTAAACCCGACCCATGGGTACCCGCTCACACCCATATAATTAATTTTCTCGACATATTTAATATTCTAAACAACTAATCTTATTTATGTTTGTGGAGACAAGTCTAATTTTTTCTTTCTAGTTATGTAGAATGAAGTTGATGTTATTGAGTGGAGAGTGAAAAACTTAATTGAAAGGAAGAAGCTTTCGATTAATCATGTTATTTATGGATAATTTGTGATTTGCTTCAATTTTCTTGACTTTTCTAGATTGGTGTTGAACAATTTGTGTAGTTAATTTGTGATTTGCTTGAATTTTCTAGAATGGTATTTTATATATGGATAATTTGTATTGAGAGATTGATATTTGAATTTAATTTTGATAGGAATTTTTATTGTGAATTTTTTATGACAAAAACTCGTGGGTACCCATGAACCCGCGGATACCCAGCGGGTTGGGTTGGGTTTGAGTTTTACCCCGGGTTTTTTTACGGATAAACTCATAGATTTGAGTTTGGCAAAACCCGACCCAACCCGACCCATTGCCATCCCTAATCCCTTGCCACATCAGCGAACCCGAAATAAAAAAATTTGAAATTTGAAATTCCTTATTTCCCTCCTTGCCCCTTTACGATGTGGAACATCATATTTCTCCTTTTCTAATTACAACCATTAGACCTTGTTTTGTAGATCTACATATAAAGGGAGGTTTATATTCGAACCTAGGCTATATAATATTTATAAAAATTACAAAGTAATATCACGAAGTATAACAAACTTATCAGAATAGTATACAAACTAGAATTACTTAATCTACATACAATATATTAGAAGTGTACAAACTAATATTACATGAAATATAAAGTAGATAATACGGTGTACAAACAATATCATAAAATATATAAACTAATATCACAAATTATACAAATTAGATCATAAAAGTATACAAAATATACAAAACAGATGTTAAAAGTATAATAATCAATAATACAAAGTATATAATCAATTATACGAAATACATAAATCAATAATACGAAATTAACATTAAAATGTATACAAACCGTATGATAAAAGTATACTAACTATATATATTGTAAAAATATATAACGCACCTTAGCTTTGCTCATGATTTGCTAATATTTACTGAAGGCTCTTTGTATGCTTTGGAATGTGTCAAGTTGAGTCCTAAACATATTCTATTAACTTTTTGGTCTTTGATTCAATCCAACAAAAATGTGAGGTTTTTTAGGAGTTAATGATGCTGCAAATTACTTGGCTCTATCTACTACTGGTTTTCAAGAAGGGCGCCTTCTTATGAAGTATTTGAGATTTCCTCATATATCCGGGACATTATATAGCAAAGAAAGCATTGTATTAGTTTATAGGCAAAATTCACCTGTATAGCTATAAATTTCACCTTTTGGACAATAATAGCCATTTTTTGAATAATACACAGAAATAGCCAAAATTTTAAAATTTGATGGATTAATTTAGCCATTTCCGTTACATTATTTAACACCGTCACTCAGTCCGTTAGTTTAGTGGACGTTCTCATGACGTGCCTGCCACCTGGGCGCCACCTATACTGAACATTGCCACATCTTTGACATGTCATATTTCAAATTAAAAAAAAATTCTTATAATCAAAATCTAACTCAATCGATCGATTGGGATTTCTCCTCTAATTTCGCCCCTTTTCATCTCTGCTAGGGTTCTTCCACCCCAAGACCCAGTCGCCGGAACCGCTTCTCCACCTCTCCCGAGAACCAGCCGTCGCCGCCACCTTTCTCTCAATCGGCGAGTCGCCCTCTCCCCGAGAACCAGTCGCCGCCGCTTTTCTCTCATTCGACGAGTCGTCTTCTACCCGAGAACCAGTTGTCGCCCTCTCCACGAGAACTAGTTGTCGCCGCAACCTTTCTCTCAATCGACGGGTCGCCCTCTTCCCGAGAACCAGCAGTCGCAGCCCTCCAAAATCCAAAACCCCTGCTCCCAAACATCTTCACGAGTCTTTCTCTACATTCTAGGGCTATTGTAATCATGTCACAGAGGATTCGAAGTGGGACTTCGTCGAAGTTTGCTGAATCGGCTTCAACAAGCGTCAACAATTTAGGTCTCGTCCTTTGCTATCATAAGGCTCCTTGTGTGGTTAACCGATCTGGTACTGAAGGAAATCCCGGCCGAAAATTCTACGGCTGTCCTTACTGGAAGGTAAGGATTAAATAATTTCGTTCCTCCACTCCCACTAATGCATATGAATGATTCTAAGGACGGCCTTGTGCTCTCCCTTTGCAGAACGAGAAGAAAAATTGCAATTTCTTTAGGTGGGTCGAAGGTAATGGTGACGAAAAGGAGTCACAGAATACTACATTGGAGGACACTATTATGAAGCTGGAAAACAGAGTACAGCGAGCAGAATGTAAGGCAGAGCAGAGGAAGAAGGCAAAAAAAAATGGCGGTCGAAGAACTTAGGAAGTTTATGGCAGTTCATGAACATGTCTTAGCTGAGGTTAGGAGGGTGAATGCTGATATATGTATCGTTCGTTATATGCTGTCAGTTTTATTGTTCGTGAATGCTTTGGTGATTGTAGTCATGTGGAGGCATGAGTATTAGTGTAGATCTGTTAGGTGCTTAGAGTATTAGTGTAGTTCTGTTCTGTAATGCAAGGGGCATGTAATGCAAGGATGTAATCATTGCCTGAAATCTGAACAACACCTAGTGCTTCAACCTACATTAATGCTAAGGGATTTGTCTCACAATTACATAGTGCTTCAACCTACATTAATTGTACGAAGTACATCAGAACAACAACTAGTAGTTCATGGTTCCAACTAATTTTTCAGACGACATCAGAACCTACATAATCAAAGCTGTTTTAAGGGGTGAAACAGAACACAACAATTACATGAGTCAACCAAAATACACCCCATCTAAAACTC